CCCTAAGTCCTCTGTGGTTTTGCATGGCCCTCAATCCACTTTCACACTTACTAAATAATACTGACATGGGATTTACATTGAAAAACAATAACACGCAATATACCCTAACACACCTTATGTACATGGATGACATAGAGTTATATGCAGCAGACAAAAATACACTATTCCAACTAGCAGACACAATACAACAATTTTTTCAAGATATTTGTATGTCATTCGGAGTAGATAAATGTAAAATATTGTCTATTATAAAAGGCAAGATTCAAAGCAATAGTTACACACTCAATTCAGGTGAATTAATTAAACCAATGGATGAACACAGTACATACACATACTTAGGTTTTAAACAGTCCAGACGCATAAAAAAAAATATTGCAAAACAAGAACTGTTCAAAAATTCTCACATCGCCTCAACCTTATTTTAAAAACCAACCTCAACTCCAGAAGCACTATTAAAGCTAACAACACATTTGCAATAGCTATTCTCATATACTCTTTCGGAATTATACGATGGTCAAAACCTGACATCAAAAAACTACAACGCGCACTCAATACACTTCTAACTAAACACAGAAAACATCATCCAAAATCGTGCATACAGAGACTTACACTACCACGCCAAGAAGGGGGAAGAGGGTTGATAGATATACATAATTTACACAACAAACAAATACTTTCGCTCAGAGTGTACTTCCATAACAAATCAGAACACTCATCTTTAAACAAACACATAACGGAAACAGATAAAAAACTTACACCACTTAACTTACAGAACAGAGACACGCAAATTAATGAACACATTATAGGAACACAACAAAAGCAGCAGCTTGCAGCATGGTCTGAAAAAGCCCTACATGGAAGACATCGAGCACGTCGATAAAATTAAGTCGAACAAATGGCTCAAACGAGGTGAACTGTTTCCCGAGACCGAGGGTTTTATGCTTGCTATATAGGATCAAATAGTACCAACTCGTAATTACATAAAATACATCATAAAAGACTCCAATCAGACTACTGACATGTGCAGACACTGCAACAATTCCTCTGAAACTATACAACATATTACAAGAGCATGTAAATCACTTACACAAACCGATTATAAACATCGTCATGACCAAGTTGCTGCAATCATAACCAACATTTAGCATATAAATATAAATTCGTAGATAAGATGCAGCCATATTATAAGTATAAACCTGATACAGTATTAGAAAGTAAGAATCAGAAAATCTACTGGGACCGAACAATAATAACAGATAAAACTATTCATTACAATAGACCTGACATTACAGTTCACGAAAAAACCAATAAAACAGTTTACCTGATAGATATAGCAATACCAAACTCACATAATATTCAAACTACAATATCCGAGAATCTAAGTAAATATCAAGAACTTGCAATAGAAATTAAAACTCAATGGAAAGCACAAAATCGTCTACGACCGAGCCCTTTCCGATCGGCTCGATTCATTGGCACTGCGAAGAGATGTTGCATCCCTTTGCATTTTCTTTCGCATCTACCATGGGGAGTGCTCTGAGGAATTGTTCGGATTAATCCCAGCCGCCAAATTTTACGAACGCACATCGCGGCAGAACTCCCGATAGCATCCACACCATCTGGATGATTGGCGGTCCACCACTGTGCGATTTAGAAGATGTTTTCTTCCTCCCACGACCTCCTTGTGGAATCGATTACCATCAGCGATTTTTCCGGACCGATACGACTTAGGGACCTTCAAGAAGAGAGCGTACTCCTTTTTAAAAGGCCGGCAACGCATCTGCGATTCCCCTGGTGTTGCAGTTGTTCATGGGCGGCGGTAGTCACTTACCATTAGGTGAGCCGCATGCTCGTTTGCCCCCTCTCCTATAAAAAAAAAATGTTCACATCGTCCCGATAGTTGTCTCATCCACCGGTATTATACCAAAATCACTCACACAAAGCCTTAACACACTACACATGCCTACTCATACACTTCACATGTTTCAAAAAGCCACCATCCTCAACACCTGTCGCGTCACCCGAAAGTTTCTGACTTCTTCTACTTTATCATCCACTTTTACAATTTAAATTTCCCCTCACACACTTGGTTTCGACCCGTGTGTGCGGTGTTTCAAACTCTCAAAGAAGAGAAGAAATATAAAGAATTGATATAATAATAATAATAATCATTTATTTAAATAAAAGTACAATAATAAAGTGAAGACTCTGATCCCTAAACTAGACAAGTCGGTATCTTAGGGATCAGCGGCCTCTCCCAGTGATGTGACAACAGTATTTTAATATTAACAATTAATTAAGTAACTAAGCTTAACATTTAAGTAACTGTTTAGTTACTTGAATGTTTTTATTTACAACGAAATAAATACATTCAAATATCTTTTTCTATCTTGCATTTTTGCCATAAGGAATTTTCTTCTCCCTTGCACACTATGTTGATCTATACGGCAGTATATTCTAAGTCTATAATTGAAAGTATAGTAATAAGGTTATATATGTATTAGTTAAAATTAGTGTGTATTTACACTCCTTTAAAAATTACGTATAACATGAGTGCTTACGGCATGCACATTTGGATTTAACAAAAGTTTTTTTTTTTATTAATGCTATAAAATTTTACAATAAATTGCCTATAACAATAACTCTACAACATTGACTTATAGATTACTCCCCTTAATAATTTAAAATAATGGTGAAATATGGAATAATTATATATTTTTCACATTTATTGATTGTTTTTCAACATTTTATTTCACAACTTCGTAGGCGTGATTGATACCTACGACTATGCCATGCAATATTACACATTTGTAACACCTAGCACATGAATATCCTAGGGTCTCTAAGTGAAACTGCGGACGGACGGACGGCCGAATATGCCGAAACTATAAGGGTTCCTTGTTGCTTAACTACGTAACCCTAAAAAGGTTATTATAAATTAGATTATTATTTCAAGTATAAGAACTTTAGACATAATGAGTTTTCTTGAAATTTCTTGACTTGTGAATATAAGTATATTTTAAGGTTAAATTGTAACTTGTAGGAAAAATATAAAATACCTAGTTTACTTGTGAGTTTCTAGAGTAGCTATTTCATGGTGTATCGCAGACTCGCAGATGGGACTTGTTAGCCTCGGCGTAGCTTTTCTGGGTCTTGTAAAGGTCGTATTTATAAAGAGCATTAGATACCAAGAAAACGACTGACCTTGATGTCTACCTCGACAGTCGACAGTTTTACCAAGTTCTTGGCTAAGCTCATGAAAGTTGACGTATGTCTTTTATTTCCCGCACAGATGTAGGTATGTTAAGTTCTGTTTGTGTGTATATATAATTTTTTTAATTCTATCTCTACTGTTGTTACATTTGTTATTTATGCAACCTAAAGCACGCTGTATTTACCTATATAAAGAATAAATGTAAGAACAGTTAGAAACTAACATTACAAATGTAAATTAGACTGTAAGCGCTACAGTCTAATTTACATTTGCCTGTACTGTCTAATTTACATGACTGTAATTTTTCTATAATTAATTCTTGCGACTGCACTACCTACCTACTGTTTAGTTCTTATTGGTTTTCAATTTCATGACCTTTGAAAAAACATAACATGTCAGATATAGTGCTATACAAAAATAATTTAACATAGAGCAATGATATTATTATTATTTACCGACATAGCAATCTAATGTCCTGTGCAGATGTTTGTGAAGCTGAGAAATACTTATTTGTTCGTCCGTCAGTAATGGTGCTCTAACCACAACTCTTAGAACGAGGCGTGCGTTTTACAGCTGTCAAAACCACCCGTAAGCTATCCAATAGGAGGGAGTGTTCAGCATTGATCCCTTCTCACTCCTAGCGCCCCACGGAAATTGACGGGCGGGGAAATTGCTGCAACGGACAATTCAGCAACATTCAGCTTAATAATTATTGTAATTAATTACAACTTTCTAAATAGGTATGACTTCTATAGCGTAAAGCGTTAATTGAAAGATAAGTTTATAAATTTATTTTTTCTATTGTAATGTAGACATTTAGCTATTACTTAATAAAGTAACCTATATTTAAGAAATGTTATCTATGTGAGAAAGTTAAAAAAAGAACAAATTTTAGTAAAGCATTGCAAGTGTGTATTAACGCTTTTTCCACGATAGAATAATTTTTTAGGAATAATAATTTATCATGACACTATATATATATATATATATATATATATATATATATATATATGTGTGTGTGTATATATATGTACATAATAGAATGTATATGTTTAATGTATTTAAGTAGATTTTTGTATTTGTGTACGGCTGTATTAATATATTTACATTTGTATGATATACGTATAGAATTCGAACGAATAATATATTAGAATTCTCATTATTAGTTTACTTTTGCTGCACTACCTCCCATAATATGTTCGTCCGAGAATGCCTTAAGGCACTAAGTCCGCCATATCTTCGATTTTTCTTTTGTGTGTAAAAGTTTATATAAATAAATAAAGTAGTTATAGTGTACTTACAACAAACAACATTCTAATCAAGTAATCACGCTCCTCATAAATTTACAGTACAATTTAGTATTTTATGTTTTGACAAATAACATTACATTTAAAGAAAAAAGTAATTTTATTTTCCACTTTTAGAAAATGACATTTCCTCCACTTTACCCCGAAATCGTTCGGAAGCCCATCCCATTTTCTCCTTAATATTAAGTGCAACGCCCATTCGTCAGGGGTTGAGGCCACGAGCTCACAGGCGCATTTTGAGGTAGCCTAAAGTGATCACTGTTCCTATGCTGTACATTCTAAAATCGATTGCAAGCAGAAAACACCCCTACACGCTTAGTCGTACCCGAAACATGAAATGCCCGCCCTTCATAGTATAAATTTATCTCGCTAACATTGTCCTTTGCCAGTATATTGTTGGATTTTTGTGTGAGTCGTGGCCGTGGTATTGACGCATTACTTTACATTTCATTTTAACAGTAATCTACAATAACTAAAACATGTCTGGAGCAAGAACCCAATTAGCTGATTCATCGACATCGCCAACACTGAGGTAATTAATTATTTTAAATTATATCAATTACAATTGGCAAAGCTTCTATGCGCTTGTTTTTTTTAATGCTAGCGTATCCCCGTGACTTCGTGCGAGATATTTGTTATACTTGTAAAATAATAAATATGCTTGATATCGATAATAATTTCCTGCCAAGGCGGCTTTCCAACCATATAATTATGTCCTGAACCGATGACGTAATAGTCTGGTATTCTACTCTGACCAAAAGACATGCGAACAACATCTTTTATATAATAAATTAGTACCTAATTTATTTATTGATTTATTTATTTTTCACTTATTACAATATTTTAAATTTTTGCATAGCTATGGAAACTATAATGTATATAGACTAATATCTACATTACTGTGATATTGAAAGAGCTACAGCTTTAATTTATTTCCTAGTGACGGTCGGCGTCTAGATTACAGCAGCCTGAAATTTGCTTACGGGGACGGCTCTGACGATGAGAGTGGATCTGTGACTCCCGAGCTGCCATCGTGCGTGTATGCTGCAGCGAGAGGCAGACTACAATTACCTCTGGCAGCCTATGTACACCAGCACACAAGGCAACTGCACCCAGGTATGAATGAGTGACTCTTATATGAATTCATAATTATTCGGTCGCCACTAATTTTTGTATACATTTTTTATATTGCCTGTTGCCGGCCATTTCTAAGTGTCTGTAATATATGTTCATAAATTGCTTAAAATACTATTTTTTTCATTTATTACAGCCAATCAAAGTCCACCGCTGAATATAGGCCATTTGCCACAGTTGACACGCTTGGCAGTATAGTGTTGGCAACTGCAGTTTTGATGCTCGTCCAGTTGATAGATATTAGGAAAACGCCGCTGCCCGTTTCCTGGTTTGTTTCTTCCTGTAGCCCCTTGCAACACCTACGGGACAAAATGTGGATATTCTTATATCGCTACTGCATGGTGTTTACAAAATACTCTTTTGGTACTGGGAAAAACCAGCAAGATATTCCAGTTTGTCTATTTATACATCTTATCTTTTCATCAGTTCACGCTTCTAATAATTATAGAGAATATTATTTCTTGTGTTTGCTTGCTTTGCTATATTCTCGCTGTTCAAGTGTGTCTGTTATTATTTCCAGAGTTGTTTCAATGATATGAAGTAACTTCGTATTAAAGAAATGCAAACATTCAATATTATATTGTTTAAATAGGTTAGGCCACATCTTTAGCCTTGGTTTAGGCTCTGTGTGCTCTGTATTAAGTGCACTGTAACTTTACTCGGTACGCGAGCAGTCTGTGTTTGATCTCCGCCGGCGCCAATGAAATTGTTAATTGCAATTTTAAGTACCGATTTACCACGTGCTCATCGATGGAAACATCGCGAGGAAACCTGCATATACACAAGCACTAGAACAACGCAGCGGACACTTCCTTGTTTTACAAACACAGAAAACTAGCGTGAAATAGCAGCTTAATGCTGCTGTGTTTCGTGTGGTGAGTGTAGAGAACCGGAGACCCTTTTTGCTGAAAACGAAACATTCCATGTAAGGCCTCAGGGATGACAACGCATCTGCATTTTCATTCGTAATCGAAGATATATATAAATGTATATGGGCCACAGCATCCACTTACCATCAGATGGACTGTGTGCTCGTTTGTTACCCTTATTCCATAAAAAAACCTTAATTTAAATTAAATGTATTATTATTTCTTTGTGCCTTCAAAACATATGCATTTTAATAATTTCTTACTATTAACTTATCAATTTTGCGTTCAGATGCTTTGCTGGAGTCATCTGTAGAGCCGGACTACCAATGCGGAGGCTCTCCTTATCGTGTTCAGCGCGCAGCGGCTAACGTACGGGAGCGACGACGCATGCTGAGGTCCGGCCCCAATGGGTAGCCCTTTTAATTGTTGCTGCCATATACTTTATTTTTTTTATTTTTTTTTTCGATCTAATTTTACTTTTAAACTATTCATTGTAGTAAATACTGTGTACAAGTATAATGGAAGTAAACACTTATAGATAGTTAGTAAGTATAGGAAACGAACATCGTCATTGTCAGTTCATAAATAATCTAAAAAAAAAAGTTTTTGCACTTTTGGCCTGACAGCGTATAAGTTTCCGGAGATTCCCCTAAGATATCAGATTGCCGTAAGTCGCGTGTTAGGATTTGAGACGACAGACGTGGGAGTAAAGGTTCCCTTACTCCTACAGCATAGAGCAAAAGTAAAGCATGAACAAAGCAGTAAAACATGAAGCTTAAAACGGTTGTAAGATTTACAATTCCGAATAGTCAAAATTACCTACTCTAGATACATTGTTCGAAAATAGGTAAGAGAATGGTGCTTAATCAGATGGACATGTATCATAAAAATTGCATTCAATATTATTTTATTTCTTCATTTTATTTACTAAGATATTACAAGATTTTGTAAAATAATATATTTATACTGAAGTATTTAATTTATCATTATTACTACAAAAGCAATAATTTATAAATAACTTATTATGTAGGAATCTCAGACCAATTCTAACATGGTACGTGGCCAATTTTTACGTGATAGAGCCGCCGTAGAACCGACCCACCTACCTGTGCGTGGCATGTTAGCTACAACTAGGGTTGCCAGATGGTCGGGAGTCGTCTGGATTCTCCCGACATTTTGAATGATCTCCAGACTCCCGACATAACTCCAAATCTCGAGACAAACGGCTTCTCGGAAAGTTCTGTACAAAATAATCATTTAAGATTGCCACGCGCGTTCACGTTCTTCTTCGTCATGTCCCGACAAGATGGCTATCTCTTTTGTCCACTTTAGATCATTTACTGCATTGTTAGTCTACTGTAAGGCAGTATTTTATGTTGAAATGTGAAGACGAATATCGAAAAGAGATATTAATATGGGAGTTTCTAACAAAAAGTATAAGCCGTATTGATAATAATAGTGAACGGGTTGACGAACACAAACAGAAAGGGGATTTTGAAACGTATTTATACTTTGTACTTTGTAACGTAATGTTGGAGTTCCAAATAGCAATTATAGCATTGGAAAGTGCTGCATGCGCTGTCCTAGAACTTGAAAGTATAATGAAATAGCTAAAGAGTCATCTCAGAACAGGTTGGATGACAAATTCTTAGGTAGTAGAAAAAGAACCTTATTAAGGAATGTTTCCGAAAGTGAGAAAACTCCTTTTTGCGTTAAAGCTGAACATTTTTATACCGAGCTATTCAATACTTGCAAGAACGCTATTTTTCTGAGAACTCTGTTTATAAGCTCGCTGTATTGTCTTTAAAAGTTGCAAATTTATATACGTAGGAAGAGTTATCCGTATTGCATGACGTACTTAATATTTCAAACGATAATGACTTTGAAACACTTGAACATCTTCCAAAAAACAAGGACATGTGTATAGTTAAATATCAAAATCCGTTACGTCCGCTCTAAGTGAAACAGGGGAAATTGATGTTATATGTGTCTTGGTGAAAAATTTTATAATTTCTGCTGTTTTGTATAATCAGACTATTTTCTTAGGAATTTACATATAATGGCCGTGTAGTGGCGGTTAAGAATATCCACTACCCCATATCTTCCCGTGGGTGTCGTAAAAGGCGACAAAAGGAAACAGGCAGGAGATGGGCAGCAGCATCTTCCTAATAACAGCAAAAAAACAATAAAAAAATGCGGTTGCCAACCCGCTCGCCAAGCGTGGCAACTATGGCAAATACCCCCCAAATAGATAAAGTTACTAAGAGACGGCCCCCAGTCCCGGCGGCCCCGCTATTCCTGGCTACGGTGGCAACCATGGTAACGGCGGGGCAGGGGATGCTAAGAATCTCCGGTGGAGGTTCGGTTGCCACCTACGACGACTCGACCTGGCAACATACAACGCACGCACTCTAAGGACTGACGAGAGGATTGTGGAGCTGGAAGAAGAGATAGACAAGTTACGCTGGCATATTATAGGATTATCCGAAGTCCGAAGAGAGGGGGAGGAAACGGTAATCCTCAAATCCGGCAACTTGCTCTATTACCGGGAGGGCAACCATCTGTCCTAAGGAGGTGTCGGATTTATCGTCCACAAGTCTCTCGTTAACAACGTTGTAAAGATTGAGTGTGTCGACGAGGGTTGCGTACCTTATACTCAAAATCACCAAACGGTATTCGCTGAAGGTCATACAGGTTTACGCACCAACCTCGGCACACCCCGATGTGGAGGTGGAGGAAATGTATGAGGATATCTCTAGAGCCATGCATTCCTCCAAAACCCAATATATGGTGTTAACGGGAGACTTCAACGCAAAACTAGGCACAAGAGAGAACAGTGAGCTGAGAGTAGGGAATTTAGGAATAGGGCAACGGAACCCAAGAGGCCAGCAGCTGGCCGACTTCTTGGAGAAAGAGGGACTCTTTATGATGAACTCTTTCTTCCAGAAGCGACCCCACAGGAAGTGGACCTGGTCGAGCCCCGACGGTTCGACAAAAAATGAGATTGACTTCATTATGACGACCAGACGACCACTGTTCAGTGATGTCTCAGTGATCGCGAGGGTGAAAACCGGCAGCGATCACCGAATGGTAAGAGGCACACTGAACCTAAATGTTAAGGTGGAGAGGTTTCGTCTAATGAAGTCAACGCTCCGTCCCCCTCGTGCTCAAATCCAAAGTCCCGAAACTTTTCAGCTCGAGTTACAAAACCGTTTTCAGTGCCTAGAAGACTGCAATGAAATGGACGATATGAATGACAAGCTCGTGGAAACTGTCCATGCGGTCGGAGCTAAGTTCTGCAAGACCCGCCGCAGAAGAACACAAAAACTCTCCGATCACACTCTTAATCTCATGGCTGTTAGACGGGAGATGAAGCTACATTCTTCAACAGATTTGACAGCATACAGGCAACTGAACAGACAGATCTCCAAATGCATGCGGCGGGACTTACGCAACTTCAATACAGCTTGTATTGAAGAAGCGATCGAGCAGAACCAAGGCTCTAAAGTCTTTGCCAGAGATCTGTCTGCCAGAAAGAGCCAACTCTCAAAACTGAAGACAGAATGTGGCAGCATTGTTTCCGGGGCACCTGAGATTTTGAGTAAGATTGAGACGTTCTATGGGCAGCTGTACACGTCATCGTTGGAGCCACACGCGAGTGTGAGTAACGATCCAAGAGCGAGTCTTATCCGACATTATTCCGATGATATCCCGGACGTCAGTCTGAGCGAGATTAGAATGGCTCTCCAGCACCTTAAAAACGGCAAGGCCCCAGGCGAGGATGGAATTACAGCGGAGCTTCTGAGAGCGGGTGAAAAACCGGTATTTAAAGTCCTTCAGAAGCTCTTTAATTCCGTCCTCCATGGTGGCATTACACCGGACGCGTGGAGCAGAAGTGCGGTGGTCTTGTTCTTCAAGAAAGGCGACAACGCTCTCTTGAAGAACTACAGACAGATTTCCCTTCTGAGCCGCGTCTACGTGCTGTTTTCGAGAGTCATTACGAATCGTCTCGTGCGCAGACTTGACGACTTCCAGCCTCCCGAACAAGCCGGTTTCCGAAAAGGCTTTAGCACCATAGACCACATACATACCCTTCGGCAAATTGTACAAAAGTCAGAGGAGTACAATTTGCCACTATGTCTGGCGTAAGTGGACTATGAGAAAGCCTTTGATTCAGTCGAAATTTGGGCGGTGCTGCAGCCCCTTCAGCGGTGCCAAGTGGACTGTCGATATATCGAAATGCTAAAGTGCTTTACGATGGCTATCCGAGTACAGAACCAGAGTACGAAACCTATCCAATTGCAGAGAGGTGTAAGACAGGGTGACGTCATATCCCCGAAACTCTTCACCGCTGCATTGGAAGACGTTTTCAAGCTTCTGGACTGGAAAGGATATGGTATCAACATCAATGGCGAGTACATCACTCACCTTCGATTTGCCGAGGATATAGTCCTTATGGCAGAATCGCTGGTGGACCTAAGCACTATACTCAATGACCTCAATAGTGCTTCCCAATGGATAGGTCTTAAGACAAACATGGACAAAACAAAGATTATGTTTAATGTCCATATCACACCTATGCCGGTAGTTGTTGGGAGCACTAAGCTCGAAGTTGTTGACGAGTATGTTTACCTGGGAAAATAGTCCGACTATGTAATTCCAACTTCGACCGAGAGGTCAATAGACGGATTCTACTCGGTTGGGCAGCGTTCGGGAAATTACGGCACATCTTCTCGTCAGGTATACCTCAAAACTTGAAAACGAGACTGTACAACCAGTGCGTGTTGTCAGTGATGACATACGGAACTGAGACGTGGTCCTTCACTGCTGGCCGGATAAGGAAGCTCAAGGTCGATCAGCGAGCTATGGAGAGGGCTATGCTCGGAGTTGCTCTGCGTGATAAACTCAGAAATGAGGATATCCGCAGTAGAACCAGAGTGACCGACATAGCCCAACGGATTAGTAAGCTGAAGTGGCAATGGGCCGGCCATATAGCTCGAATAACCGACAACCGATGGGGAAAAAAGGTTCTCGAGTGGCAGCCTCCTACCGGCAGGCGAAGTGTTGGGCGTCCCCCCACTAGATGGAGTGACGACCTGGTAAGATATGCAGGAAGTCGATGAATGCAGGTGGCCCAGGACCATGCTTTGTGGCATTCCTTGGGGGAGGCCTACGTTCAGCAGTGGACTTATGAAGGGCTGTAATGATGATGATAATGTAATTTAAAAAATTAATAAATTAATGATAGGATAAAAAAGCGGGTTAAAGTTTGGACATACCGCAGTTTGATGTGTATGAGCTTATTATATCGGTATTATAAAAAAGTTATACTGGGCTTATCTAAGTTTCATTGACATCATTATAATAGGACGTATTCAGAGCAGCTGACTTGTGGTATTTTAAGAAGTAC